AAAAAAAAAAAAAAAAGTAGAACTTTCCTGACATGTGAACTTTTTGTTTTGTTTTGAGACAGAGTCGCACTCTATTTGCCCAGGCTAGAGTGCTGTGGCATCAACCTAGCTCACAGAAACCCGAGTCCTGGGTTTAAGCCTCCCGATTAGCAGGGACTACAGGTGCCCACCATGATGCCCAGCTAATTTTTCAATTTTTAGTAGAGATGGGGTCTCACTCATATTCAGGCTGGTCTCCAACTCCTCAGCTCCCCTCCATCTCTAAGAATGCTATGAGTACAGGCATGAGCCACTGTGCCCAGCCTGTACACTTTTCTGTATGTCTGTTACACTCCAATTTAAAATGTGTGTGTGTGTGTGTGTGTGCGTGCACATGTGTTTTTTAAATAGAGAAGAGCCAGGCATGGTAGTGTGAGTATATAGTCCCAACTACCCAGGAAATTAAGGCAGGAGAATCACTTGAGCCCAGGAGTTTGAGACTACAGTGGGCTATAATGGCACCACCACACTGCATTGGGTGACGAGAAGAAGACCCTGTCTGAAAAAAATGCCAAGGAAAAGCAGGGAAAACGTAATGTGCAATATGATCTAGTTTTGCTAAAACAAAGAGAAAAATGGAGAAATGGTCATGCTCATAAATGTCTGGAAGGTCACACAGATTCTGTACAATGGTGCTTCTTCTTTTTAATCCTAAATATTCTCCAAGATGGTGCTCTCTAGATAGTGGTGGGAAAATAGGGAATTTATAGTTTTTTACTGCTGCATTTTTCTTTTTTTTTTTTTTTTTTGAGACAGAGCCTCAAGCTGTCCCCCTGGGTAGAGTGTCATGGCATCACAGCTCACAGCAACCTCCAACTCCTGGGCTTGAGCGAGTCTCCTGCCTCCGCCTCCCAAGTAGCTGGGACCACAGGCGCCCGCCACAATGCCTGGCCATTTTTTGGTTGCAGCCGTCATTGTTGTTTGGCGGCGCGGGCTGGGGATTCGAACCCGCCACCTTAGGTGTATGTGGCTGGCACCTTAGCCGCTTGAGCCACAGGCGCCGAGCCTACTGCTGCATTTTTCAAGATTCCACACTGGGCACTTTTTACGCATTAAAATATGCAAGAAAATGAAGGAGAAAGGCGGCTCATTGGTCCAGTGAGGGAGGCTTGCTCCCTGGAATGACAGACTCTCTGTGAGACAGAGACCTTGGACAGGGGTCACCTCTAACTCCCTGGACAACCACTGTGCTGCCTGCAAGGAGCTCAGTCCCTCCTCCTGGCACTGACCACCACACTCAGATTGCTGAAAGGCTCTTTGCCAAGGGGTGAGGCTTAGAGGTTCCAGCTTGAGTCCTCTTTCTGATTGCAGGGCCTATGCGGTTTCCTCCAGAATGGGGCCCAAAGAATAGATCCCAAGTCTTGCCATCCCTTCCCCTGACATAAACTTCACAATCCAGGTCCCCAGGCCCTGAAGACACCATCCCAAAGCAGGCCCTCTTTCTTAGCCTGTCCTCAGGGGCACAGGACAGCCTGTTATACTTGGGGAAGGAGTGTTCTAGCAAAAGCTAGGAAAATCTGCCCCCTAATATGAAATAACCTTCAAAACCTGGCAGTAGGCTCGGCGCCTGTGGCGGGTTCGAATCCCCAGCCTGGGCCCGCCAAACAACAATAATGGCTGCAACCAAAAAAAATGGCCAGGCGTTGTGGCGGGCGCCTGTAGTCCCAGCTGCTTGGGAGGCTGAGGCAGGAGACTCGCTTGAGCCCAGGAGTTGGAGGTTGCTGTGAGCGTGATGCCATGGCACTCTACCCAGGGGGATAGCTTGAGGCTCCGTCTCAAAATAAAAAAAAACAAAACAAACAAACCTGGCAGTAGAAAAAATCTAGTGACCCCTGTCCCTCCAGCTGGGGAAATCCAGTCTTTCTCAAAGCAGCTCTGGCCTTGACAGAAACAGAAGACCACTCACCAGCAGCTGTGCCTCTTGCCTTATCTGCTCACCGAAGGTCTGCGGGGTCAGCAAGCAACACCTGAGCAAGGATGCTGTGTGCTGGAAGCAGGGGTTATGGCAGCCCCTTGGGAGTTACTACAGACAACCACTGCAGAGGACTCCAAGGGGCCCCAGCCACTCAGGAAGTGGCAGAGGTGGGCACACAGCCAGCAGTGATGAAGGCAGCATCTCGCACCCTGCTGACTATGGCCATTTATCCTTCACCAAGGGGATGGCCATTCTGAAATTTCTGCCTAGTGTCAAAACACAGCCTGGAAGGAACAAAGAACTTGAGGGATAGAATTTTGTCACATGAAAAATTTGCTATGTGATTAGCCAGCAAATTGCTCTCTTCCTCCTCAGGTGTTGTGATACCTTTCTTTGGGCCTCAAAGATAAGACAGCTGCACAAACCATCCCCTACGTGTACCTCCGCCCACAGAGCAGAGGCCACAAATTGCCGTCACTGCGACCCAGATCATTGCTCTGCCAGAGCATAAACACTCCAAGAGGACCAGGAGCTCCTCCGCCACTGTCTAGCAAGTGTGGATCACCAAGCAAAAGCACAGCAAGGCTAACCCCTCCACTGTCCTCAGGGAGTGTTTCTGAGCCTCAACTCCTCCTAGACTGGGGACTGGCAGGAGTGAGTCCTGCATGGGGGATAAGTTGCATAACCCTATCTATCACACTGAGGGGGGTCAGAAGTCTCCCTGACTTGGTCAAGAGCTTACAACGGCCCTGTCCTATCAGGCCTGACATGAGTTACTCTTTAAGCCTGTCTCCTGTGAGTGGAAGGAATCTTTCTAAAGACAGAAGAATACTCTGAGTAACTAAAAAAAGTGAAAGAGAGGAAAGAAACCTGCACCTCTCAATGTCTGCCTTGGGACTCTCTCTTCAGGATGCAAAGGTATCCCTCAGAATACCAGTGCCCTCCACCCAGAACTTCCGGGAAACAGTAAACACACATATAGTTGGTTTTTGTTCCCACCTCTGGCTGCTTGCTCAGGCACCCTAAGGTTTTCTCAGGCCTGAGGCTTCTTCACTGGACAAGGCATGGGGCCATCACGGCTATATACTGGGGTTTATACTGAACATTGGCAGAGTCTCAGGGTCCAGGGCTTCCTGAGCCCACACTGCACAGGACACCCCAGCATAAGGAAGCCATCCCAGCAACTGAACAAAGTGTCTTTTATTTATGACATACAAATACAACCAATGCAAAGAGATCATTTTTCCCTTTGATTCCAGTGATAACTTGCTGAAAAAAATACATCAAGAAGTTTATCTTTGAAGTTCCCTCTAAAAACATCAGAAAGGGTTAAAAAGAACCATACACATGTCCTATACACAGTTGATAACAAAAATAATCTCAAATAGGGTGGAAACAACTAAAATTTTTAAACTCTTACAAAATTTTTTAACATGCCCCAAACAAAAAACAAACCAAAAGGCCTGCTACGTTTCTCAAAACCAAGACCTAAGGAAGTGAAGACAGACTGATGTTTTAGAAATTAATGGGCTCAACACCAACAACAGAGTGATCTGCTGGTCTCAGCGCCTATCCTGCCACAGCCCAGACCTCTTGAGGATCCTTGGGGATGTGGTATACTGAGGCGGGCATGAGCAGGGCATGGCACCAAGTACCCATCTACCTATAGGCTTGGTGCCAAGTGTTTAATCACTGGAAAGAGACAACATATACTGAATTTACCTTATGTGGGATCTACACTGGGGGTTCCTTTAGATCCCCGTGAGTGGGAGGTATCAGAAATTCATGATCTAAGACAATAAATATTTATCATTCTGTGTCCTTTGAGAGACAGAGACAAGAGGAAAACCTCTTCCTAAACATGCTTCTGCTGTTTCTTGTTTCTTAGGAGTCATCTACCAATACCCTCCAGCAAGGTCAACTCTCTCCTGGGGTAAAACTCCCTGGGAGCCAGCAGGGTGGGGCAGAGGCAGCTACGCCAGTGTAAAGCCACGAGGCCCTCTCTAAGGAGCACCAGCCCCACTGCTGGTGGGGTCAAGAGCAGTGCAGAGTGCTTGGCAGAGGGCCAGGCTAGGCAAAGGAGGCCCAGCAAGCACAGACTCCTGCACAAGCAGGAATCTGGGTGAGAAGCAAGGACCACCCTGGGGAGATCTGCCAAGACAGATTGCCTGAGTTGGGCAGAGGGCAAGCTATGAGCAGGCGCTGAGGTCAGAGGGACCAACAGACTTCCATGAGAGCAACTTCAACAAAGGCTAGAACCTTTACAATACTCCCTAAAGCAGAGCTTAGGGATGTCCACGGGGAGGTGTTAGGTGCTTTTTTCTTGATAAAGAATTTGATTTTTCTTCCCTGAACAGGAATAGGGCCTAGAGATCAGGATGAGTGTTTAAGTTCTGAGCCTGCATCCCAACAAAGAAGGCCTTCTCCTCACCCTGCTCCAGCCTGTTGCCACAGGGTGACACCAGAGAGAGAAAAGCAGATGTTTCGGCCACTGAGAGGTATTCCTGCTGCAGGCTGAGCTGTGGCTCGCCTGGGCCAGGGCAGTGGCACTAGTGCCTCACTGAGGCAGCGAGGGGCAAGGCTAGGGAGTGCAGGCACAGGGGCCTGCTGCTGGCTGGGGGCTCTCTGAAGAAGAAGGGCGGCAGTAGGGAGGGATGCCCCACCTTCAGAGAACTATCAGCACCAAGAGATGAGAGGAAATGGCATTACCTACATCAGGGAACAAGAGGTCCTTCTGGAGGAAGATAGGGGCTCCCTGATGTTATTCCCCTTGAGAGTAAGAAGAGGTATCTAGGGTAGAGATGAGAGGCCAGGGAAAAAGAACAGTGAGGTGAGACAGAGAGGAACAAGCAGAACCTCTGGCTTTCTTCTACACATGAAAAAGCTCAAGTCACTGCCATGAGATCAAGAGGTTAAGCTTAGAAAGCAGCAAAGTCCACGAGCCCAGAGAAGTCTTCACGCCCACACGGGACCCACACAACATCTTGTTTCTGGTTCTCTCAGCTCCTCTCTTGCTGACGGCAATGGAGAGAGAAACTTCCTCTCAGAGTTGGCTGATCTTGAGACAACCCTACTCTGTAGATCCATTAAGACAACAAAAAAGAGCTTTCCGTCCTTCCTTCTATCTTGGCACAAAAGATCTTCCCACAGCCTGTCCCAGAGCGTTCCATCCACAAAAGCACGAGTCTCTCTGAAGCCTCTATGTCCAGATCTTACACCAGGTCCATTAATCTTTGGGGATGAGCAGACCCCAAATCCAGAACTCTAAGACTTCCATAAAGACAGGTATAAACAGTCCATTTGTCCAAGTGTGCATGTGGGAGGGGCTGTCAAGAATCCAGCTGCAGAAAAGTGGGGGGACCTTCTGCTTAAAGGCGCAAGAGCCTGGCAAAGAGGCAGCCACTGAGTGAGGATGGACTTTGTGCCTGAGCCTCCACCAGCTCTTCCCTCTCCACTCCCTCCTGGCACTCTGGTCTTCTAGGAGAGAGGAGGAGGGTAGTTTGGACCTCCTTCCCAGGGTCCTGTGCTCTCAGAGTACAGCCTGGCACATGCAGGACTGAGGCAGCACCAGCTCTGAGGGAACCTGTCACGCGGCATGAGACCAGGGAAGAGGATAGGCCTTAGGAGAGAGCACTGTGACTTGCAACTGGCTCTGAGAGTTCAGTGGCAGCAGCCACCACAGTGTCCACCAGTGTGGGAGTGCTGGCTATCCCCAAACTTGGTCCTTCGGCTCAGGATCTCATAGGAACAGTCCTCACCACAGCAACCAGACATGCTAGGGGAAGAGTCATCAATTTCAAATCTGCAAGGCAGGCAGGAGAAAAAGATTGGTTACAGACAAATTAATGCCTTCCTCCCTGACCTGAGAACTTTTCCACCAGCCACACTAATGAGACCCCCTAAGATGATGATGATGAAGGTGGGGGCAGAGGACCACGTAAGAGAGCACATTGTCACACCATCACCAATCCCAAATCCCCACAGGGCAGTGGACTGGGAGCTTAGCATCAGAATTAGTGGGGGCCAAGACCAGAAACCAGCACTGGAAAGGCACCTCATACCACCCAGAAGGACCACACCAGGGCCCAGCTCCTTACTGCAGAGCTTCTCTGAAAAACTGGTAGGCTCCATGATTGTGTTTAAATACCGTTAGCATAACCTTCTTCATCTGTGTGCTAGAAGAAAAGAGAGAAAGCACCTTTTAGAAAGAGCAATAGACACGAAGGCCATCTTCCTCTCCCACCTATCTCTGCCTGCTACCTCCCTTTCACCCTAAGTATTCATAGATGGGCATAGTGACTCTCACCTCTAATCCCAGAATTTTGGGAGGCCAAGGGCAGGAGGATCACTTCAGGCCAAGAGTTCAAGACTAGCCTAGGCAATATAGCAAAACCCCGCCTCCACTAATTTTTTTTTTTTTTTTGAGGCAGAGTCCCACTGTGCCCCCTCAGTAGAGTGATATGGCATCACAGATCACAGCAACCTCAAACTCTTAGGCTTAAGCAATTCTCTTACCTCCGCCTCCCAGTAGCTGGGACAGGAGCCTATGGCCCCAGGATTGCTTAAGCTCAGAAGTTTGAGGCTGCAGTGAGCTATCATTAGGGTGACCAGACGTCCCACTTTTTAACAATTTGTCC